GATTTCGTTAACTTTTATTCGTAGTTGCCAAAAAATAAATATATTTAGTTAACAGTTTTTGAAGTAAGAATAATACCTTTGTTAAGAAAAATATTTATATTTTAACAGCTTTTTTTTCATATTTGAAAATTAATAATAAAAGAAGCCAATTGGCCGATGAGCATATACGATGCTTGATGAACATAATTTCTAGTGGTTTCTCTCTACGGCTTCAAATTTTATCAGAATCGAAAATGCTATCTAAGGCCAAGCTGTAGTAAGAAATAAAGAAGTTTATTATCACTTACATACAAATATATGCATTTTGGTTTATGTGTCGAAGAAAAATGTTCTAAATAAGAGAAGGTGATTCGATTGCTATATATTATTCTCAAGTTTTGTCCCACTTGGAAAGTTTCCGTAATTTCCATATTTTTAGTTTAAGCTAAAAAAAGTTCTCAAATGTTTCATTAAACATGTTAGAATAATTTAAAGTAACTCTCAGTCAGAAAATATTAATATTTAGCTGTCAGTTTACTTGAATTATAAAGTGTAAAGAACAAAAATTTCTTGCAGGTACCAAACTTTAGATTTCAGATAGAAAATAAATATACATCTGATTTTTTTTCCCTTTGGGATACTATTATTATTGTTGTTTACATATATTTAAATAAATATTTAGCAATCGAAATTTTAAATTTATTTCAAATATTTTTTATATTGTTAATAAAAATTTTTTAATTTTCTTAAAAAGTTTAGCCCGCCAGTTGTTTTTTGATTGTACATTCGACCCGTCGTCGACACTAAAAATGAGGAAAGCTGAAATGGAAATTCTAGATACTGAATCAGAGTGATCATAAATATATTTTAGTGAGACTAAAAGATTTCCAAATTGAAGATGATTACCCCTTTGCTTACAGTAGAAATTTAAGAAAAGTCAAACATATGCTTCGTAATATTGGTAAATGCATTGAATACTATGAAGATAGAATAGTTAAGTATGAGACATCAATGGAAATTAATGAGTGTGTTTCTCAACTGGAAGAATTATTAATCGATAATAGGATAAGTACCTAAAAATAAAATGTAAGAAAAAACAAAAACAAATTACTAGTTGATGGACTCAAGATTTGGACAGGCAAAGGATGATTATTCGTGCACTAAGGAAGAGTTCCCAGGTTAGCGAGATCGATAATAATGTTAGATTGAAGAGAAAAATTAAATACAAAAGAAATTTGGCTCTTTACAAAAAGAAAAAAATTAAAAAAACTAAAAGAAATTATACAAATATGATCTTTTTACTAAATAAGGAGTATTATATTTATTATCGGACTGCAAAAGGAAGGTTAAGAAGTCAAATGATTTTGAAACAGTCACAGGAAGCGGAGGTCGCCTCTGTGGAGGAGATTTATAGGAAAATTGTGGAAGAAGTCAATATGGAAAGCAGAATAGTGATTTAAATATCGCGGGGGAGGTCAATATGGAAGATGATGTAAAAATTGAAGATGCTTTTACCTATGAAGAAATTTCTTATACGATTAAGTGTTTAAGAGTCCATTCTGCCCCAAGATTAGATAGGATCGGGGTTTAGCTTGTTAAGAAATTATTTGAGGAGTTTTCTTCATTTCATTTGGTTTTATATAATAGATGTCTTTATTTGCGTATTTATCCAGATGCTTGGAAAATTGATCAAATGATACTTTTGGAATAAAAGGTAATGGAGGATATAGACCTATTTGCCTCTTAAAGACGTATGCAAAAATTTATGACAAACTAATGAATGACCAAACAGAATTCAACAAAAATTAAGAGAAATAAACTATATTAGTGACAGACAATATGGCTTTCAACGAGGCAAGTCTACGGATTTGGCCTATATAACGTTTTATTTCATTTGAAAAATAAGAAGCAAAAAAATTTATGTTGCCCTGATCTCTTTCGATATCCGTGGGGGGTTTGACTCAATTATTTGGTCGTCCCTGCTATCTGAACTGAAGAAAATAGGGATCACAAAACAACTATTTGAAATTATTAAAGATTACCTAAAAAATAGGGAGATTGTTTTCAAAAATAAAAATGATTCTGTTCATCTTGTTTATGATATTGAAAGAGGATGTCCTCAAGGCTCCTGCAGCGCACCCGTGTTCTGGAGCCTCATTGTCGATAAAATTTTTAATTAACATGACTGGTGTTGAATTATTCTGCTTTGCAGATGATATTTTGGCTATTGTCTATGATGGCTCTTTAGAGAAATTCGAAAATCTTTTAAGAGTTTAGAGGAAAATTTTATGAACTAGAGTAGAGAAGAAAATACAGAGTTTTGCAATTAAAAAATAAATGCCATTTTCTTTCCTAGGGGTGGTAAGGCTACTAGAAAACCAAAGTTGAAATTTAATGATATAAAGATTAATTTTAAAAGTCAGTTTAAATATCTTGGAGTAATTATTGATGAAAAGATAACTTTTATTGAACATTTTAAGGCGATTCACAGATATATAGAGAAAATTTTAAAATATTATAGAAGTACCTTCGATTCACAAACTTTGCAGCTAAAAAGCACCACCCTTAGAGATATTTCTTTAAATGTTATTAGGCCAAAAATTTTATATGGTATTGGCATGTGAGGCTGCCGGGCAGGGGAATTGATTAGACTGAGAACTAAACTGGATTCATTGGAAAGGAACTGGCTGCTTGCAATCACAAGAGCTTTCCGTACTGTTCCTATAGAAGTTATTTTCTTACTTGCTGGCATTCCGCCACTCTCAATTCCACTCTCAATTTTTTATAACTTTTATTATGAAAATTTTTTACTCAGCTATGGTTTTAAAAAGATTTTAACATGCGAAAATGGTGATGTTTTAAATGGTAACGCATTGACAGGAAAAGATTTTATTAATATACATCTAAAAGATTTCAAGGGTATACCGTACGATAAAGATTATATGAATACTGGCATGATTGATATATACACTGATGGCTCCGGATATGATGAAGGTGGAACTGTTTGTGCTTTTGTTATTTTTTATTACGAAGTCGAAATCTATAATAGAAAAATACGATTAGAAGGAAATAAATCAGTCTATCAAGCTGAAGCGGTTGCAATTAGAGAGGCACTGCGGTGGAGTTATAAAAACTTAAACAGTACTTTACAATACATATTTATTCTGAGGCTCTCTCGGCCCTACAAGGCTTGGCGAATCCGGAACCATGCAATAGACTTCTTTTGAATATAAAAAACATTTATAACAAAATAAGAGAGAAAAATGGTATATGTTTTCATTGAGTCAAGGCACATATTGGTGTTACCGGGAATGAGAGGGGGATATGCTAGCTAAAGAGGCAGTCCTGGGAGAGGGTGATATTTATGAAGCTATTAATGATTCCCGAATTACCTTGAGAAAAATGAAAGCAAGTATAATTGAGAAATGGGCTAGGGAATGGAATGGTTAAATAAAAATAAGGGTTACTTGAAAATTTTGATCAATGCTTGGCTTGTGGGAAGTACAGAAATGCAGCTCATTTTATGGAAGAATGTAAACTGACCGAGAGTGTGAGGACGAGATTTGGAAAAATAAATGAACAGAATGTAATTGAAAAAGAAAATTCTTGAATAGCTATTGAACAGAAATTATGAGGATTGTGAATGAAAACAAGACTATCATAGGAATAGGACATTAAATATTTTAGTTTTTCTTTTTGTTTACGAGTTTATGTGTTGGGTGAGTGAGTTATGTGCTGTCTTACTATTTTTTGTTTTCTAATCGATTATGCTTATGTCTTTCCTTATTTTATAATGTGTGAGTGTATTTTTAAATATACACAATCTGTGTTAATCTGTATTTTAATCTTTTGTTTTTATCTTTTAACTGTTTTTGTTTGTCTGCGTCGGGTATGCTGCGTTAACCATGAGGCCGATTATTATCGTCCAGGAGGGTTGCAGCATACCCGTAAACTAAACTCTTTTATCCCATAAAACCAACGATTATTTTACCGTCCATAAAAATAAAGGCTTCCTTCTCCAAATAGCTAGTTTCCAGGAAAACTTCACATATGGTTCAAGAACATCATCCCTTTATAACGCTGTGGGTTCACACTGCCGCCCCTGCAATGGAGTGCGGCGGTCCATTATGATGCCTCTTCAGGTCTACAGGTTAAATTTCCACCGAAGAGGTAGACTTTTCTGAGGTTGGAAAGCTAATCGCGGGCCCTAGGCTTTCACCAGATGAAGATTCATCGAGAATCTCTCCAGTGCTGAGAATGGACTCCTTAATGAAAGGAACATGACCCCAATCTTGTGTCCAAGCATGGTGAGCTTATATAAAAGATGAACTCTCATTTGCGATATGTTGAGAAGAAAGTGTAATTCTGGTCGTCGGAAGTAACATTGCTACTTTGCTAAATGTATGTATACAATTACCTACCCAGCAGAAAGATCCTGTAAGGGCTCTTTTGACATTACCTTTCTATGGCATCATGCAGTTAGTTTCAAGTATCAACCCTCCGCAGGTGTGAGCGCGACCATAGCTGGGATTCCTGATAATGGTACTCGTAGCTTGGAACTGATGTCAAAACCTGGATATCACCATTCTAGACACTCGCAACCGTCCAGTAACTTCCATTTGAGAATGGCCACACCGAAGTCTATCAATGATTCTCCATCTCAATCTGTCCTTTAAACGCTTGCAAGAGCTAATTTCAATTGGAATCAATCAGCCTTATGATATTCCTTGCAAGAAGGGCAATTCTATAGAAATTTTTCAGATTCGGAAACCTGTCTCTTTCACATTTTCTTAAAAAACACGTTCTTAAACCTTTTAAGAGTAGCGGCATGCTTCCAGTATATTTACTGGTACCTAAATTATATATGACATATTTTTTTAAATATTAGCATTTGCTATTTTGAATTATTGCACAAAAAAGTGCTTGTAACTTTAATTTTAGACAAAAAGTACTATATCAAAGGAAACAAATAAAACTTAAAAAAATAACCACTTGAAAAATAACACATAAAAACAAATTAGTAATTAGATGAGAATCATTGGAAATATTTTAATGTGTCACAAATTGTACAAGAGAGAAAAATCAGAACATTACACTTTAGAGTACATAAACAGGTGAAGCAAGAATTTCTTCATGGTCCCGCCATGCAGATTCTTGAACATGAAAGACAAATCACTTTCTGCAGGAACATGTCCATATTTCCGTAAGTAATGAGTAATTAAACCAGCAGACCCCAGATTCCCAATAGCGAGCGGGTTGTTTCATAAGAGGGCAATTCCACAGAGATTCGGAAAATTTTTAGCTTAAAAAAAAAAAAAAAATCACAAAAAATTCCTTAAAATTTCGATTTAAAAAGTTTGTTTTTAAATTTGTGTTCATTTTTTCGCTTTACTTTTATAATTTAACGATAAACAACGATGACTGAATTGCAGGAAAAATGATAACTGGTTAGATTCAAAATCACTTCCAAATTTTTACCACAGAGGGCTTTATTAGAAATATTTTAGCAACTGACTTTCGTACATACACTAATCTGTATTCATTAAAAGCTCATCTCTACAGAGCTGCCATAGTCAAGTATTTTCATTTCCTGATATGATTTCCACCTCGCACACATGAGTGCATCAACAAAAATTACATCGAACAGAATTCCGATTCATTATGAATTCAAACACGCATAAATATATTTAAAAGCCGAAGGATCAGGCATTGATATTTAAAAATTCTAATCTAATACTAGTCGTTAATGATTTAAAATTAATATTTGCTACTTTTTTAACTTTCTTTTGAGGCGACTTACACTGGATCTAAAGTTCTGATGAAATTTATTTTAACCCATAATACATTCGAAACCTTCAACTGAGTTTCAAGTTAATAAAGTTGATAGAAACACAATTTCAATTAATACCTCTGAAGAAACCTATATTCTTCTAAATACATAAATCTGGAGAAATATCTTTATGCAGATTTCTTCACTTCGCTCTCAATCATCCGAGTCTCTGAAGATGCAGCCCCCCTTAAGAAACAAGCAGTTTAACACAATCATCACCAAGTCCTCAAGATAAAAGATTTTCCAAAGCTGTACAAAGCGCAAAGAAGGCTGAAACATATATCGATTGATATGTCAGTTTCACAGTTCAGAATAAATATCTCAATAGCATGCAATAACAGGAATACAGATATATATATATATATATATATTTTTTTTTTTTTTTTGCACACAGCACTGAATATTTTTGCAAGAACGTATCTTTATGATATTCAAGAAATCAAATCACAATCAACAAACGTCGTCAGCAACATAGAGAGAAGATAAATGAATTTCATTGTCAGAGGAACTTCTGTAAGGAATAAACAACTTCATTCCCTATTATTAGAATATAGATTTTATAGTCTGTTTACATTCTGCAGGGATATGCGACAGAAACATTGCAAAATAAGTAAAATTCCAAGATATAACACAAGTTTTTTAAAAATGAAATTCAGTTTTTACGAAATAACTTTCTTTTACTTTATTCAATCACTGGAATTCAATCGCAGAAAAGTACTTTAGTTTTTGTTAACTAGTAGAAATTTAAAGTAACACATCCCAGTGCGATTCTCATTGGAATGGCATTAACTATTGAAATATGTGACGAAAGGCTGTGCATTGATCAACCAAACATTCTGCGATGCTAAATATGAAGTGATTTAATTAAGTATGGAACGATAATTGCACTCAGAAATTGTGTAATTAAGCATTCATAAGGGGAATTTGAATAATTAAATAACAGTGATGTCGATGATGATTTCAAACTGATTAGGAATTCTAAGTCTTTACGCATATCCAATTTGACGAATTCAAGTATGTAAATATAATCCCTTTCCATCTATGGAAATATTTTTCATGCTTCTTTAAACAAATATTTATAATTTCTCCTCCTATGAAACAGAATACGCTTTACAAATATTACGAAAATATAATGACATTTCAAATGCTTCAAAATAGTGTTCAATCAAAAAGTCAAGGAAAAAAAATTGGAAATGCTTTTAAAATTTTCGCAAAAAAGGCAATGTCCATGATGGCATTTTCTTTGTAACATGACTGCTGAATACTTCAAAGAAATATCCATAACAAAAATTATGAAAAAAAGCCTAGTTTGCTAAGTGTCCGTGTTGTTCTTTTAATGGCCTCGTCTTTGTACCGCCAAATTGTTGTATCTTTAACTGTGTAGATGCGGAAGTCTGTTTTGCAACTATTCTTCAAAGATCCCACACAGTCTTTGCGATAATGCTGCAGCTGCGCTAAGCTGGTGTTAATAGAAAAGGTGGTGCATGTGCCCAGGCAATTGAGAGGAAAGTGGTTATGGAGAGACACCACCCTCTCTGTATTATGGAAACACTTGACGTATGAACCAGGTTTAGTAAAGTTTTTGCTCCGATAGACATGTTGAAACATGTGAAGATATCTTGGAATGCCTTGCTCATGGGCTTCGTGGTGTAAATCGTCTCCATCCTGAAGATCGTCCAAAAAGTACACATTTCGAACATTATAGCTGGCACGCGTGTAATTTTTCTCTTTAAGAGCTTGCTGTACGACTTCTTTCATTAATTCTGACCACGAATCGTATTTCACGGGCATTATGATTTCATCGATATCCAGCAAAACAACATATTCGTAAGAGTAAAGGTTTCTATATAAACAGTCATTATATGGAATGAGTTCATTCTGGCGTTTATGGGTTAATTTTGTTTTTAAATACAAATGGCGGAAACCAGGCAGATTGGGCTGGTTACCAGGCAACGTTAACGGAGTTAACTGCACAAGGCCCTCTTTTTGATAATAATTTAACACTTTTGAGATGTTGGGATGAATTTCAAGTTCATACAAGAAAATCTTTTTGGCACCTAAGATGTTCAATAATTCTAACCATTCAACTAATCTTACACTTAGATCTTCATGCAGAAAGTCGAGCCCCTTCACACATACAGCGAAATCTTGTTTCTTTTTGGGTCTTTCATTCAAGACTCTTAAATTTGTTGTCGGTTTATCACATCGGTTCTCCACCAAAGACACGCTTGTTGGTACTTGGCCACCAGATTCTTTAGGTGGTACTTTGCAAGATATGACATAAGGCTGAAGAATGCCATTTTTGTAATTCCCCCATTTGCTGTACCATGCATACGTATAGGTGGCTTGAGAAAAAGCAACGGTTTTCTTCTTATCAAACCACAGCTGACATACTGTAGGAATTGGTTTTATGCGATCTATCATGCCCAGAATTCGCACTATAGGTACACTTCCTGCCCGCCATCTGTTATCATAATAAGCTCCGTACAAGTAAAATGTACCATTGGACGTTTGCAATCTTTGCCAATATATGTTATTGAAATCTAAATCATACAGATTAGGAAACTTCACACAAGATTTATTTCCAATAGGGCGGACTTTGTTTGCTGACCAGTAAGCTAAAGGAAGATTTGAGTGGTTGGCAAGTAGCGTCAACAACTGTTTTTCGTTAAGAGCAGGAGAATTATCAACTTGGGGTTCGAGGTCGAGGAAATTTTGCGGAATACCTGGAGTTCTACTTCCTACAGGATTATCTTGGATTCCAGGGGGAGAAGTAGTTGGAGCATCGCCTCCTCCACTGGCAGCAATTTGAGCAGATTGCACGTTTTGTAGGAGGCCCCTGTTAACACGCGCTGTCAGGTAAGTCACAGCACCTTTGTGGTTCGTTATCCGAAACACCAGATAGCAAAGGCAAGTCCAGATGCAAATTCCATATAGTATCTTCTTTAGGGCACGAGCTGGAACGAAGCGTAGTTTGGCCCAACCCATGTCTCTAACTGCGGGATCTGTAACAGAAAAAAAGAATCGAATAAAGCTCGTATAGAAATTACTTCACTACAGCAGCAAACACGCATATATATGTAATATTTTAGGTACGCTGAAAAACAGATATAGAACCATAATCGAAGAAGTAACTTTTCGTCGCATCGAATCTTCATATTATTTTTTATTTGTCGTTGATACACATTTTTAAGTCAACATAAATAAATTAGTGCAGTAAACGCCCTTGTTCTATACTTTTTTTTTTTTTTTTCTCCCCCATTTTTGAAGGCAGCACGCTGCAGCAACTTGTCAGAAGCAAATGCGTCGTGTTCCAAGATAGAAATTTAATTGAAAAGGAGAAAAGGGTTTTGATTCGCAATTTTTACTTTCACTTTCGAATAAGCTGCGTCACCAGCGTTATGGAAAGGAGATGTATCCAAATTTAACTAGATATTTAAGAGATTACTGCAAATTAAAATTATTATTTTGATATACATATTTTTCTCTCTCTATATATAATGATAACCGTTCTTTCCATTATTTGTGCTCTCTCTGTATATATAATGATAATCGTTCATTCCATTATTTGTGCAAATTAAAATGTACAGTGCTTAATTCAAAAGAATGAAGTTTCATTTAAAATCTTGAAAGCTCGATAGACTAGCAGAAACATTCAACTTAGAAAAGAGGTGAAGGGGGAACCTTTAATTTTCGTTTACATTAAACGAAAAGTTTATATTAAACTAATCGAATTCTAAATTTCTGTCTATTAAATAAAATTCAAATTCTTCATCACAGATTAGGGAAAAGTTTTCGAAGATATACCGAAATTTAAACTGTTTTCTCCACAAAAAGAATTTAATGTCTGAACATTCCATAGCTGATTTTTAAAAGAAGTACAAATATATATATGCCAATTTACAGCAAAACGTGTCGGTATTTCAAAACACAAAATATTTGAATGAAAACATTTTTTTATGAAACAAATATCTTATTTCTTAATGATTTGAATTGGATTTGTTAAAACAGTGGTTTTGGAAATTTCTTCCGAATCGTACAAAAAACTTCTGTTACATTAATTATATTTTAAAACTAAAAATAACTTAATAATATTTATTCTATCCCTTCACTGCACATACAGCAAAAGTTGCTTTATACGTTGAAAATTTGTTTTAACGTTGATTACGTTCATAATATGGCCACATCTAGCTGTTTCGAATTATTATTAACCCATTATTACAATTTTATCTATTAAATTTATAGCTATAACCTAAGTAAAAATATATGGAAATAGTTTACTGCTTGAACCTGGTAACATTATTTTATATTACATTATAAAAAAGGATTTTTGGATTTAAAACCAGCAAAAAATTTTAATATGGTTGTTATATTAAATATCTAAAAATCTTAAAGAATAAATATCTGCGGTTTTCTTAGTGCATTTATTGAAAAGAAATTAAAATGTTACATAATTACACATAAGCAACAACGTCATACAATATTACAAAAGATAAGAAAATTTTAAAACACATCTTTTAATTAAAAGGTGCTCTGAAATCAAAAAAAAAAAAGTTTTAAAAAAATTGTTAAATAATAATTTCTTTTTAAGGTAAAAACATACAATTTGGTAAACTGCATGACACGATGGCCTAATTGCAGATCTGTTCATAAAATACGACACTATTGTTTTTATAAACAAAACAGGCTACATGTTGCGCCTAGTTCTCAGATCATGATAACGCGTGAGGCGGATTGTAAAATGAAACTGCCCTCAAGTTTGAACAACATTGACCTCGATAGCTGTCTGCTGCAAGTGACGTGCTGTCTAATCCAACACAAACCGGCTGTTCTATGCAATCGGATAAACACAAGAACAAAAACAGTCTTCTTGGATATAAAGTACTTGTTGAAATGAATTCCCCCCTCCCCGATGCTAAATGGGATACGAGATGAAGCATTTATACAGAGACAGAAAATATTACAGGAACTGTAAGATGTGGGCTTAACCAAGCACTACGCCTTCGATATTCTGAATTTAAGCTTTGGAGCCAATCCACAGACTTTGATCGTATTGGATTATTTAATAATTTAACATTCTTGCTTCATCAGATTAATCTAATTAAAATCCGTCAGATAATTTTAATGAACGATTTCTATATGACATAATACTAAGGTTTCGAAATGGGTTTGAAACTACGCTATTACTCATAAAAGAATCACACCAATTTTAAACAAAATACAATTTTAAATTTAATTAAATAAAAAGAACGCCAACCTAAAGGTTGAATGGCGACTAATTTTTAATACTAATGTTGTTTGACAGGATATGAATTAAGTCCAGCTTATCTAGCAACCTTTACCTTAAGTCTATCGTAACTACGATACGTTTCATTTCCTATAAAGCTTAATCCAAAAGTAAGTAGTGATGTTCACACAAATGATAAACGCTCTTGTCACAAACACAAAGCTTTAGTTACATAATTAGTATATAGCGTTCAGCATTATAAATTATTTAAGCAAACATATGCCTTCAATATTCGTATCTTCATTACTGTATTCCTAATGCCAAGTGTTCAAAGTATACCACAGCAAGGACGCCTGAAGCGCCACTAAACGGTTGGCGCTATCAATTCATAACATTAAAATTGTCATATTACTTAATAATTGGTTAATTTAAAATACTTCATAGCTTATGCCAGTGGTGTTCGAATTATGGGTTGTGAAGATTTATAGCAGAGTCGCAGGGCTGATAAGAATTTTAAAAAATTTGACTTGATGGTAACATAAGTTCAGTGTCGACGCTTTGATCGTGACTTCAAATTGTTTTTTGGGGTCGCACTGCCATAAAGTTTGAATATCACTGGCTTATACAATTTTTTAAAGAGTTATTGTCTGAAAGTTATATCATAAAAATTGGTACTTTTAATTTTTTGAATGCCACTCAAAAATCAAAACACCCCCCCCTAAAAAAAAAAACCTCTTTTCTGAACTTTTAAAAAAAGGGAGTTTTTTTTTACCTTTTACTTCTTCAAAAAGATTTTTAAATGTGTTAAACGTTTTCTTTTACAACATAATTATATTTTTATGTCAAACATTATAAATTTTCTTGGGGGCTGTAAAATAAAAAAGGGTGAAAATGTCTAATTTCAATCATGACTGAAATGATTTTCGGAACACTACCGCAGTCAGCAAAGATAATAGTCAGAAAAACCTGCGTTTTGAGACAGATCTATTTGTTTTCTGCTATTTGATTTTCAGTAACATAATCACAGTTTTTACAGTCTTGTTCAGACAATTAAGTAACAGAAAAATCTTTTGATTTTCTACCGCCACTTCTGTTAATTATACTGAGTTACTTCTACATTTCTGAATTCCATTTAAAAAGAGGGATGATGTTTACACTAAATTATCTAAAAATCATTATTGGCTACATGTACCTATGCATCTAAAAAACTAAACATATCAATTAAAAAACATCCTACCGGTTTCACGTTATGAAGAAGACGCATTTCCATTATCAGCAAGTCATAATCTTTCAATAAATAATGTTCGGCTAAGTCCATCAGCATTATTTCGTACTTATTTGATTTAAGTCATGATTAAATGATGTAATACTGAGATCAAATCCCCTTGTATTGAAAGTGTTACTTTGCCTCTAATAATTATAACGAATAATATCATTTACATATATATAATCGGTTTTTGGGAGTAATTAATATTGAATTGCATCAGAAAATTTCAATAAATATTTATAGAACAAATTAACTCTTTTAAAGAAATACGAATTACATGTACGCTATTTTTTTAAAAAAATCAAATCCATCGTCAAAATATTTTAGTGAAAGTGGAAGTAATCACTTATGGAAATTGCGTTGCCAGAACTGAAAAAACAGACACTCACATTTTAAAATTAAAAAGTAAATTTTGGTTAATTGTATAATTCTTATACGTAACAAATTCTTAAAGTTGACAGTAATATTTTGCCCGTCATTTTTATTTTAAATCTCATTTCGTTGCCTCCATTCTTTTAATGTATACAATATTATGTATTTTAATAGTAAGGATAGTAACGAAATGTAAACAAATGCTAGTCTAGAATTATAAAACGCTACCTATTTCAAATAGCTGTCTCGAGCAGGAGGAAAATATATAATGAGAGTACGATTACCATCGTAAATAATAACCTATCTAGCATTCAGATGAAAACAATTAGTATGGTTTTTCTCCAAAGAAGGTTTGCCTCCTCTTTACAGGCTGAAAACTATTTTTCCTGGGGACTACAGATGTCTTTTTTATGTTAACCTTTTTTACTTTCTTTATTTTGTAAGTTCTTGGATATATAGTATTATGTGTATTTACATATATAGTATTCTTCTGCATCAAAAAAGAAGATAATAAACGATTCGCTTTAAATGTAAAATACTTCCATTTTGCATTTATAATGCATAATTTACTACGAGGTATAAATATATCGGAAACAACTTAGTAAAGCAGATAATCAAACAGCTCTGTGAATATTTAGAAACTTTCCTATACAAGAATTAAATTTACATAAGCTATCACAGTGTTTTTTAAAATGGGTATTTCATGGCTACTGCCACCCTTCCCTATTTTCGACCGTAACGCGCGTCGTCGTCAACGCATAGTACTTATTTTCTCCACTTCATTTAGGAACTCTATTTTATATCAGCCTTCATTCACATGCTTTTCATGAAGCGAAACATTGAGAAAATGGGGTGGAGGAAAAAATAATAAGGCGACTCGAATAATCTGCTATAGTTGTCGTTCCCATGAATTTACGAGGCAAATTGGGCGGCGGAGAATGTCCTCGAAGTACTTATTTTACAGTCCTATGACTATAGGACTGTAAAATTACAATCTATGACTATATTACAGTCCTATGACTATAGGAATAAGCCTCTCTAGAGCCAGTTAATTTATCTTAAAAATTCCTCTATTAAAATACATCTCAAGGCAGATGGCCGTCGCGTGCTTTGCTCAATCAATTAATCAATCAACCAAC